CTCAGGTAATTCCGCGGGGCACTTCCACTTGAGACATGAAGAAAGTGGTGGCCACCCCACCGGCCTCCCCACCAGCTTGGTGGTGGAGCGGGGAGCTGCCCTCTGGACAGCGGACTCTCCAGCCAGTTTTGTGTTGCCTCCCACCCTCGGAGGCTGGGCCTACTGCTTCTTCCTGTGTGTCTGTGGCCTCTTTGGGAACGGGGCTCGGCCCAGGAGGTTCTCTGTGCTTGTTGATTGATTGACATCACATTTAACAAATTCCTGCGAGCTGAGTTGTCTGGGTTTTCCTTCTCCCACCACCAGATGGCATGCCCTCCCCAGCCTCTGCCCCTAGTGGTGTGTGAGGAGGAGGAGGGAGTAGCTCCAGGTGGGACTGGGTTCTTTCGTCTGGGAACAAAGGATGGCTGGAGTTGGTTGACTAGTCTTTAATTTACTCGCGTGCCTGACTTCTTGAGCACTGTGGGTGACTGGGCCACACGGCTCCCTTGATGTTATCCTGTGTGTAACACCTGGCAGGTCACAGAGTTAAGAACTGTGTGTCCCCTTCTGAGGCGGGCGGTGCGGGGTGAATGCCAGCTTCCTCCCTGGGTAGCCTAGCAACACACGAGCACCTCCCTGCGGAGGGTCAGGACCAGAGCATCTGCCGTCATGGGAACTGCAGGGTTTCGGAGAGCCTGGCAGAGACGCCAGCAGCCCCCGGGGGCTGGAGCAAGGCAGGGAAAGCGCGTCAGACCAGGGTCAGGACACCCACCGCCTGGGTTCTCGTGTAGTAGGTGGTCTCTATCCTGCAGTCCTCGGCGCCCCATCCCTGACTTCATGTAGAAAATAACAGGGGCAGAGTGCAGGCTGCCCGTGTGCCCCTCTGCAACAACTTGGTCACCTCCTGGGCCTCCCCAAGAGTGACTGCAGCCCAGCCTGGGCCCCTCCCGGTGGGCCACCTCTGTGGTTAGGGCCCTAGCTACTCAAAGGCCCTACCTAGTCGAATGTACCTGTGATACCTGTGAAGGGAAGGTGCTTTGCTCTCAGCTCCTCCTCACTGACAGCCCAGGGGTCCCTTCTGGGTTTGCTAGGACAGCCAGACCGAGAGCTCAGCCGAGCACCAGACAACAGCCACCAGTCTACCAGCGAAGGATGTGTCCCAGAGGCCTGGCCTGGGTGAGGGCTGGAACACCTGCGAGACATGAGCCCTGCACAGCAAGGTGCCTGGGCAGACCGGCTGGCAGTCATTCCCACCCCCAGCCTGCCCAGCTGGAGAGAGAACAAACTGTGACAGCGAGAGCAGGCCCAGGGAACGACCAGGTGACCCCAGAAGTATACTCACCCCCACCCCCTTTCCTTTCCATCAGACTCCAGAGCAGGACCCGGTGATGACGTGGGCAGCCTAGGTGTGACCCGCAGGGGCTGGGGCCTGGCTTCGTGAGGCCAAGCTGGGGGAGCTGTTGTGGCAGCTACACCCCCGGGGACGGTTGTCTTCCCCCCGGAGTTAGGAAGGGGTTACTGACCCTTAGAGCCAGCTGTGGGCATCAGCTCCTGAAAGCTGGGATCCAGCCAGCAGGCAGTTCTTCAGGGGCCCAGGGGCAGGATCCTGTGGGGCTCCCCTGTCACTCCCCACCCAGTCCCACTGGCCTCTGAATGTCTCATGTGCCCAGGGCTGTTCCCGGTGGCAGGTACGTGAGTGGGGCACGCATGACACCCGCCTGGCCTCCCGAGCTGCCCTGCTGGCATTGGGCCAACCCACCCCACCTGGAGATTGAGGGAGAAAATCTGTTCTCATCCTGCTCAGCACAAAGTATTAGCTGTTTCTTTTTTTTTTTTTTGCAAGACTGCAGCAAGGGCTAGAGTTGAGATAATATTTTTCCCCCTTGGGTAGTGACAGAAAAGAGATGCCATTGGAAAACAAAGTACAATGTTCATTCTCCCTCCTCTTCCTCACTGAGCCAGTGTCCCCGGCACTGCCCTGCCACTCCGCGCAGGGTCCGAGGGTCCCCTCCTCCCTGCCCTGCTTGGATCTCACCCGAGTGACCCTCCCCTTCTGCTTCCAGAGGGTCATTCTGGAGAGAGGAAAGGGGGCTGAGTGAGGGCTTGGGAAGGCCCAGCCCGCCCAAGCCCCTGCTGCTCTCAGACTTATCAAACCAGGACCACCCTTTGCTTCGACCCCATTTTCGTGCTGTGAGGGTGAGAGAGTCCTCAGGGGAGCACAGGGCGGTGTCTGCAGGCACCACGTGCTGAGACGAGAGGAAGGAGGGGAGCCCTGCCTTCGTGAGCCCTCCCTCCCTGTCCTGGTTTCCAAACCGTGGCTGGAATCGCCTCGCTTCCCTGGGTTTTCTACCTGCCTGTCCCTTTCCTCTACACTGGACACCCTGTGTTTTTTCTTTGTCGTTTTTGTACTTTGTTTCTAGCAAGACTGAGGACTGGGGCTATTTGAATGAAGATGGAGAACTCGGTTTGGCCTACCAAGGCCTGAAGCAAGTTGCCAGGTCAAATGCGTGCCTTACTTTGTGTGTCTGCCTTGTTCTGCCTGCTTGTGCCTGTGCTTGTTTCTCGGCTGGAGTGGCTGCGAGGGGTAGGCACAGTTCCCCGGGTGTGCGTGGGGCAGCCCTCCTGTGCACCTGTGCAGATGCCGTTGGAACGGGCCTTAGAAACCACCTAGTCCAGCTCCCTGGCTCGACATGGGAAGGGACAGGCGTGGGGAGTTTCACATGATGGTGGACATGCAGCTATTTTTAGAGCCAGGCTGAGAAGGAAATTTAATTCCCGGGCCTCTGGAGTCCGTGCGGCTTCTGTGCCACATGCTGACCACCCTAACTCTGCAGGGTCAGCTGAGCGCATCAACCAGATTTGTGCCACTGGCTGCGCTCCGAGTGCAGGGCATCTGGGCACCTGCGCTGCGTGCAGCAGGCCCACTGCGCCCTGCCCGAGACTGCCCGACACTGTGGACGAGCCCTGTGCTCCAGGTGCCACGTGTATGAAGCCTGCCCCACACCACACACGCAGGGGGCGAGGACGCTGGGCCTTGCTGTATATGCAGAAGGGTCTCAGTTTGACACCAGAGTCTGAGCCTCTAACCCACTGGCCTTCGGCTGTGGCTGCAGTTCGGTGAGGGAGATTAGACCCACACGGAAGAGACACAGTGTGGTGGCCACGTCGCACACTCATTGTCTGCGTGTGGGTTTGGGGCCAAGGCAGAGCTCTGTGCGTCTGAGACCCCCAACAACCAGTGGGGCAGTGGTCCTCAGGCTCGTTTCCCAGGAGAGGAGACTGAGGCTCAGTGAGGGGTTGCAGTCAGAACTGGAGCCAGGTGCCCAGTGTACCTCCTTCGAAGGCCCACCTGCTGACGACGGGCGGGGAGTCCTGTGAGACCCGAGAGAGCATCTCCTCTCAGGAAGAGGGGGTCCAGGTCAGCTGGTTCACGAGATAGTGTGTCCTCTGGCTCTGGGTTCAGACGTGGCCGCCTGTGAGCAGGGTGGCGTCTGTCTCCACTCCCTCACTGGAAGAATGTGCATCAGGATAGACCTGCTTCACTGGGTCACTACACACTGCAGGGTAAACACAGGTAAGGCACTTTGCACGAGACTGGCATGCCGCAAGCACAGAGTAAATATTAGCTGTTGTTTCTATTATAATGCATATTATTCAACGAGATTAGACTCCCGTTCCATCAAGAAGTTTGTTTCATTGGAAGGTGGGACCCATAGGTGAAGCCAGGCATCTCCCCGTGGCTCTGTCAACAGGCTGGCTGGGGTCGGACACCTGAGTGGCGGACGCGGTAACAAAACCAAGCCTGGGCCTCTGCATCAGGAGACCCGCCTCCAGACCCGGCTCTGCCCCGGGCTGTGGCCTCCAGCTCTCTCAGCCTTCATTTTCCTACCTGCAGGGTGAGGTGTCTGGCCCGACACTTGGGCAGGGGTTCTCTGACCCTGCACAGACCCCTGGCTAAGCCACCCACCCACAGTTTACATGGAGAGCAGAACAGACGTGAGCATAAACTCACACCCCACGAACTGATCCTGGGCCCTCTAGGAAGTCGCATCTAATTTACTAGTGAGTACTCGAGTGCACTGTCACCAAGGTTGGACGTTTCCGAGTACTGTGTGTCCTCCGAGGCGCTGCTGCAGTTTCCAGATTCTGCTCCACGACCCTCGCACCGCGGCCTTCCCGCAGTGGTGCTGCCTGTGGGGCACGGGGGACTGTCACCCCTGCACTGTGTCTTCACTTGCTCGCGTGGCTTTGTTGAGTAGCTGCTGGGAGCCTAGGGCGGCCCCCAGTGCCTCTTTGGAGCCAACTGTCCAGTGGAAACCGTGGCTGCTTCCATCTGGGAGTTGGCAGTGGAGACTCTCCCCTCCCTTGCTCGCTTCTCTCTTGTGGCAGCCGTCACATCCCAGAACATAGCAGAACTGCAAAAACATGGTGGCTCTTCGCTCCCCTGCCTCCAGAGCAGCCAGGGCTCCAGGAGCGGTCTGCTAGCCACTTCCGAGTCCCCCCCTCTGTGCCTAACTCTGTCACCATCTTCACCAGCATCCCGGGGAGAGTCGGGGTGGGGTTTCCCCAGGTGGGTTGGGTCAGGAAGCTTTGATGGTGCCTTCCACCCAGAGCTTCTTGCCTTTCTTTCATGTGATGTTCGCTGGGTCAGGAATCCTGCCCAGGTGGTCGAGCCCATGAAGACGGCACCATCCTCGTGTTAGCAGGTGACTTCCCGAAGGGGAGGCTGCTTAGGGACCTTCCTTAGGTTCTTGCCTTTGCCCAAGTAGCCAGCGCCCCTGGTCCTGGGCCTTTTAGACTTGAGACTTCTCCCAGCATCCTCTGGGTCTCTCTGCTTCTTGTCATGATGGTAGGGTGGGCGGGGGGTTCTTTAAAGCTGGAGATAAAATGAGGTAACAGTGTTGAGAATAAAAGGGAGCTAATAATTTGCCTTTCTAAAACCTGCAGAGAATCTACTATAGTGAGACTATGAAAATAATTATTTCAGTCTACCAGAGTTTTGTCTTGAGATTCTCATGAGCTTGGAGACAAAGGTGGAGGCTTTTATTTAGAAGATGCTATAAGAAATGTATTTCTGCTGATGAAACAGACTATGCTCAAAAGTGAAGAACAAGAGAATGAGGGGGGGTCAAGAAGGAGGCCCGGGACCAGGGCTCCGTGGTTAGCCCTGGTGTCCCACCTTCCGAGAGGACAGGCTGGCCCGCTTGCCAGATGGGCTGCACAGGTCTGTGCCCCACGGCATCCATCCCACTGGGTTCATGCAGTTGCTGCTGCTGCTTGCCTGGCCGCTCCCCTGCTGCATGTCTGTCGGGGGCACTGGCTCCTGCCCCGCGGTCAGCTGCCCTCCTCACCCTGGTGCAGGTTGCTGGAGGCCCAGCTGCAGGCCCAGAGCCGCACGCACGAGGAGGAGGCAGAGGCTCTCAGGGCCCAGGTGGAGGCCTTGGAGGAGGAGCTGGACAGGCAGCAGCAGACCTTCTCCCAGATGCTGCTGCTGTCCCCCGAGGCCCAGGTGGAGTTCGCCGTCCAGCAGGAGATGTCCCGGCTGACCAGTGAGAACCTGGTGAGTAGCCACTGCCCAGCGGATCCCAGCTGCAGGGAGTCACATTCTGGAAGACAGTGGGACCAGAGATGGCCATTAGCCAGATGGACAAAGTTCATGTCCTTGGCCCAGGAACAGGGACAGAGAATCTAGACATCAGCCAGCCAGCCAGCAAGAATATGTGGAGACATCTCAGCCATCTATTGTCACACACCCACCTCCCCAAAACTTAGCAGCTTAAAATAGCAAGTGCACTGTGTGGGCGGAGACTGGCGAGGTGGGTGCACCGTGTCTGCACCGCACTGCTGTGGGCTAGGGCCGGAGGAGCAAGACAGCCTCAGTCCCAGGCTTGGGGCCTCGGAGCCACGCTTCGTGCCCGCTGACTCCCAGGAGCGGGAAGGGCAGCGGTGGGGAGGCCTTTAGGACCCGGTCCCAGCACTGATGCAGGGGCGCTTTGCCTCTTTCCACTGATGGAAGCAAACCCTGCAGCTAGACCACATACAGTGTGTGTCGTGGGGTTGGGGGGTAGACTCCTTTGGCTAGGGGTTGTCATGGGAGGGACTGTTGGTGGCCTGCTGACAGTCACCAAAGAAATGGAGGGCCGTCTGTCCTCAGCTTACAGGTGAGGAGAAATAAGATGTGTAAAGAAGAGAAAGATCACGTTTCTGAAAACATGATTCTATATGGGACTAATATGTATTGCAGAACAAGACAGATGCATAGAGGAGGCTGGAGCTGAGGCAGGAGGTGTGGAGAGATGTCACCCATGGCAATGGGCAGGGAGGAGGGGGAGGTGCCGACACACAGGCACAGCGTAGGAGTGGGGGCGAGGGTGGGGTGGCCCCGGAGCTGAGGGAGCCAGTGGGGAGCACAGTAGGGATTGCCCACACCTGCCCCCAGGCCCACCCACTGCAGAGCTTTTCTCCCTCATCACCGGGTGGCCCCGTGTGGGTGGCCAGCTCACTGAATCCTGATGCACGGGCAGTGGGGCTGGGCCCCAGGCCCCTGAATAGGCTTGTATACAAATGATCTGCCTGCCCCCCTTCCCTCTGTCTCTCTTCATCTGTATGTCACTGTCTATCGTACGCAGGGGGTAAGTGGTGGCTCTATGGAAAGGAGTGTACACGTTTAATTGCTGGACTGGCTTCTGCCAGGTGAAAGAGGCAGTGCGGGAGAGGCCTCTGCTGGCACGTGCTCCCGGGGGCTGGGCCACTGGCCAAGTGGCCTGGTGGGCGACCCCCTTGCAAGGAGGGTTGTGCTCGAAGAGGAACCATGTGAGGTCATGGGATAGCTCAGGAGTCAGCACTCGGGCCCCCTCTAGGCCCGACTGTGGGTCCTGGGGCCTGAACAGGAGCAGCCTGGGGTGTGGGCAGGTGAGGATGCAGGTGACGAGGAGAGCTTTGGCTTGCAGCCTGCTGGGAGGCTTCCAGAGCACGGTCCACACTGTTTGCCCAGGCGAGGCTGGGCCCGCAAGCAGAGCCACCAGGGCAGGGCTCTTTGCTCCCCAGCTGAGCAAGCATTAGTGCTTCCAGTGGGCCGCCAGTCAAGCACTGCCACCCACAGGGAGGATGTGGCCTGTGCGCCAGGTGCTGGGCACCTGAGGGGGCCAGGTTACAGGGATTCAGGGGAACAGCTTCCAGCCGAGGGATCACCTGGCACACTGACAGGGCTGTGTGGGAGAGAGGGTGTGGCAGTCTCCCAGTAGCACCTTGAAGAGCTTAGACATATGTCCTCTGGCTTGCCCACCAGTTCCCCAGATTCCTTGTGAGTAGAACTCATTCTTTTTTTTCTCAAGCTATCCGTAATTTTAGCGTCTAGGACTTTGGGCCTCAGTAGCTCAGTAGCTCCCCAAGTTCAATACCCAGTATGGCCAGCACTGTGTTGCCTTTCATTTGTCCTAAACTTGCTGAGGACAAGCTATGTTACACTCTCTTTTTATGAAGGTGGACGGTTGAAGTCCTGGACCGCGTCTGTAGCTGGGTTTGTGGTTGCCATGCCACAGCCCGGAGGTTGAGAATTTGGCCGACTTCCTCCCGTCTGCCACCCTTCCAAATCTGCCACCCAGGTGTCTGTGGCAACCCAGCAGCACTTGAAGGAGCGCTTGTCTTCAGTGGCGCTCCTCATCCCAGAGACGAATGGCAATAGGGTTCCCTGCCTCCTGCCGGAGGAAGGACCACACCCAGCTTGAGTAGGGGTTGCATTAATGCTGTTCCAGGGTTCAGTGGGCTGACTGCTTCCAGTGACCATGGTTGCTAGGGGCAGGCAGCCACAGAAGGGCATGGGCCAGGGGCCCGTTTTGCTTCTGGGCTCCAGGTCACCTCGTCAGCCTGCTGACTCTCACTCACCCCCCACCCACCGCAACTACCACGCTGTCCATTTTTTCCCAGGGCGCTGTCCACACACCTGGGATGCCCCTGGCTGCAGCTCTGGGGGTTGGCATGGCAGCCCGAGGACACGTGGCCTACATGACCATGAGGTTCAGAGGGCACCAGGCGGCCACAGCCAGGAGTTTGTCCGGATTGTGAGAATGAACTCCAACCCACCTCTCGCTTCCTAGGTCCAGACCAGGGGAAGTGAGCTGCGTGGGGCTGGTCCCCTGACCAGTCACAGAGCCACTGCTACCTTGGGTGGCTGCCTCAGGCACTCTGCACTAAAGGATTCTGCCCTTTGCCCTCCAGGGTGGGGTCAGGAATGTTCTCATACTGTGCCCTTCTGCTTTTAGGACCTTAAAGAGCTGGTAGAAAAGCTGGAAAAGAATGAGAAGAAACTCAAAAAACAATTGAAGATTCACATGAAGAAAGTCCAGGACCTAGAAGGTAAGGCATCTGTGAGTGCATGTTCTCTAAAGCCCTGGTGTGCCGAGCCAGGCCTCCCTCCCTCCGGGGGCTCTTCCCACCTGCCCGGCCTCCTGGCACCTGTGCCGGCGCAGTCATGGGGGCGAGCCCCTCCAACCACGAGCTAAACCTCGCTCAACCTCACTCACTCTGCCGGAGTCTGCACTAAAGACACTCGGACGTGGTGGGGCTCCAAACCAGAGCCTGGTCAGACAGAGATTTGACTTACTCTTTCAACAGCACTTAGAACATTCTCTTCCTCTGACACTCTCCTGTAAAACTAATCACATGAGTCCCTGCCCCCTCTTTGCACACGCCACCTTGCTTGGAACCCTCTCAGCCACCTCACCACTTGGATACCACCCGCATGCCTCCCACCCCTTTCCTCTTCAGCCCCGGAGCCACTCCCTCAGGGCTGTGTCCACCCACGGGTCTGTGGGCACTGCCCCTCCCAGGGGCCCTCTGTTGAACCACACCTGCTCCAGAGGAGGCTGTAAGGGGGCAGGGCTGTCTATCCTGTTCAGCCCCCCTCTCCATTTTCGGGTTTCTGTTGTCCTTGAGTTTTCATTGTCCTGATTGCTCAGGTAGTGGCAGGAGCAGCTGCTGCTTTTATAAAAATAAATGTATGCCACATTGTACTTGCTCAGTCTTGAAGACCTGCGACCCGCTGTCCTTGAATGTGTCTGTGTGCCCCACGCCCCTTAACCAGCTGTTTCCCCCCGCTCAGCCATCCAGACGCTAGCCCAGAGTGAGAAGAGGCACCACGAGCTGACCAGGCAGGTCACCGTCCAGCGGAAGGAGAAGGACTTCCAGGGCATGCTGGAGTACCACAAGGAGGACGAGGCCCTCCTCATTCGGAACCTGGTGACAGGTCAGGACCCTCGGGGGCCCCGCCCCTGCCTGTCCACCACTACAGACGGCCCCTCCCTCCGTCTCCTCATTCCCGTGGTCCCCCACCCCTGCACAGTCCCTACCCACTCCTCGCTCCCCTCACCCACCACCTCAAGCTGCTGCACACCTGGGAGTTCCCAGGTGATGCTGACACTAGGGTGCACGTGGCGCGCCCTCTGGGGGCCGACCTGCAGGGGTCGTGGGAGCCGCTTTCCTCACCAGCCCTGGGTCTGGTCCGTTCTTGTACAGGTTCCCGTGCCTCGGGGCCCATTCCGCATCCCACCCCAACAGTCCCATCTTCCCCCGGGAACGAGCTGCCCAGCCCAGGGCAGCAGCCACCTGCTGAGCCTTTGGGCAAGCCTCAGAGGAGAGAGTGCTAGTGAGCTGCCCTCTGTTTCCCACGGTGCCTTAGTTCCCGGTCTGTAATGAGGGGGATGAGGAGACGCCCCCCCCCCCTCCAGTGCATGAAATAAACAGTGATAGGGCTGTGGGAAAGCCACAGGACCCTTCTCAAATGCGAGAACTTAACGTGGTAGCTTTGGCAGGGGCATTTGAAGCTCAAAAAAGAGGTGAGCATTGTTTCAGAAAAATGTCAGTTTACTGAGGTCCCACTCTGCTGAGCACAGGGCCAAGGGCTAAGGCCACAGGGAGAAGGACCGTGACCTTGGCCTAGCACAGGTATTTGTCAGCTCTTTGCCTAGGGTGTTGTTAATGGTGAAGTATTTTGCTCTTGAAGGATAAACTCCCCTACAGTTGTCCAGCAGTTCAGTGTGATGTAAGTTCACGTCAGTCTGCCTTAAACAGGCTGCATCTTGAACAAATGCTGATGGGCCACTCATCTCTCTTGAGTGAACCCAGAATTCACAGCATCAGAGTGAAAAAGAACAATCCTCGTGGGGACTTCCTGTGCCAGCAGGTGGGGCCCCAGGCCAGGCTACCTTCTGCTGAGCTGCCTGAGCATGGCATCCCGGCACCTTCCCTCCAAAAGACCCTGTCCAAGTGAATGTCAAGACTGTGCTGACCACACCTCTTAGGTCCCCAGCACTGGCAGTTGCCGTGGTCCCTGCTCCCCAGGTGCTAATGGCTGGGTGGACCCAGCAAGCTCTGGGAAACGGGACTCACAGCCCACATTTGCAAAATGGAATGCCCCGGGCCGGACAAGCTGATTGCAATCTCTGCATGGGTCCGGCTTGATGCAAGAAGTTATAGGCTGAAATGTGGGCACTCAAATACATTTTCCTGAATAAATGTTATTGGCACTAACGTTAGAGCAAGGGCCAAGTCCCAGCCATCCATCGAGCCTGTGAGCTGCCCGAACGTTAACCATGTATCCAGAGCATTAGGGCCCATACTTAGCATTTAACCTGAAGGGCTGGGTGTAGTTCGGGGGACAGTGAAACCCAAGTACCCACTGGAGATGCTGGAAGCACACCCCAGCCCTGTCCCAGGGTCGCCCCAGCAGAAAACTTGAGGACGTTGCACCTTCTCCTTCTGGCCCACCTGCAGGTGGGGGTTGGGGTGACCACCCCTCTGAACCTGGAGATGTAACTCGTGAGGCTTGGGTTGGGCGGAGACTGGGGGTATAGGAAACAAGAGTGAGGAGTAAGGGCTGAGGAGGCCGTGCTGGGCCACAGTGAGCTCACCTGGGGTCTGAGGCTGTCCCAGGCCCCAGCCCCTTCTCGCCTTGCTGCCTTCCTTAGCACCAGGCCCCTCCCCCTCAGAATCATGTCCCCACTCAGGGCTCTCAGCCTGGCTGGCCTCACCTGCTTACTCTGGGAGGGAAAACAGTCGGCAGCTCCACCCTGGCTTTCTAGGGGCTTTGGCAAAAAAAGATGGAGAGGCTGAGTGGGTGTCTGCAGCTTCGAGGGGTCCTGCCAGAACACACCTGGTAGGGCCAAGGGAGGGGCTGGAGGAGCAGCCGCCCCAGACTGCAGCCAAGACAGAGGCTGGTGAGACCCTCGTCAAGGGTGGCACTGCAGAGGGGAGACAGTGGCCAGCCAGCAGCCTGTGGCTTTATCAGCTCTCAGAATGTCTGGGCAGGCAGGCACTGCCAGGGTCACCATCCCTGAGCGTACAGCCAAGTGGGCTGTAGGCTCCCCGCTGCCTGCACGCTGGCCCTGTCTTAGGGAATGTGCAGTTTGCCAGGTTCCCCTGGGGCAGCCCTCTCCTTCCTGCTGCTGAAGAGCCCTTTGTGCCCAGAATAGCAAATGCTGTTGAGAGTTCGGGCCCAGCTCCTGTCCTCAGTGTGCTCTGGCCCCACGCCTCTTGGTGAATACCGTGGCCTCCATGTGTCAATTCCAGCAGAGAGCAGCCTGTGGGCTCTTTTCCTCCATGCTATGCAGACAAGGCATTAGAAGCCTGCTTTAACGGTGTAGGCAAGGTGATCGGGAATGTGTTTTTGTCCATCAGGGGTTTTTAACTAGTTTATGGAACTACAGTAGTCAGGTCAGAGGGGTCTGTGGCTCCCAGGAAGGACACAGCCTCTCCCTACTCCCTGTCAAGCCTCCATGAGTGGCCACTCTCAGGTGAGCCAAGGAAGATCCTGATAATGGCTGCACCTCAGGCCCGGTTCTCACACCCTGAGCATTGCTGTAGACCTAACCCTTGCTGTTTGCTGCCGCTAGAGCTGAAGCCCCAGGTGCTGGCGGGCACGGTGCCCTGTCTCCCTGCTTACATCCTCTACATGTGCATCAGGCACGCGGACTACGTCAACGATGACCTCAAGGTGCACTCCCTGCTGACCTCCACCATCAACGGCATTAAGAAAGTCCTCAAGGTCAGTGCCCCATGCTAAAGGGGGCTGTCCAAGGGGGACTGAGTGGAGCATGCAGCATGCCGTCGATTCTTCCTGTCTGGGTTGTGCAGTCGCGAGTCAAAGTCTCTGACAGTAAATGACAGAAGCACAGCAGCAGTTCACCCCTGTAACAGGGTGGTCCCAGCCCAGAGAAGGATGCTCAGGCTCAGAAATGGCAGGAAGTCCAGAAATCCAGGGCAGCCCTCCAGCTGCTCCCTGCTGAGCTTCCGGGAACCTCACCCATTCTCAGCCAACCAGTGATGTTCAGGGGATCAACCTGAACAGAGACGCTCCCTGAGACCTTCCCACGGGGGCTGTGGGCCTACAGGCCAGGGCACACACAGGACACTGACTTGGATCAGGAGTGACACCTGAAGACAGGTGAGGCCTGGCCCACAGGGGGCCAGAGGCCGGGAGCCAGATTTTTTAATACAGCCCAGCAGGCCCAGACCCCATGTGGTATTACCCTGAGTGACTGTCGTCTTGTTCTTACATGTGCTGCCACTTCAGAGTGCCAGCCTTCCAGGATGGCACTGAGCTGCTCCGTCCCGCCCCCTCCCTGAGCACACCACAGCCAGCCCGTAAACCCTGGTCTCACGTAGCTCTGTGCCTGTGGCCGCACCTTCCTCCCTGCCATGGGCTCTGGAGGCACTTCCTTCACTCCCAGCCCCAAACACACACCCACGTGCGGGCAGCATTCAGATCTGGGCCTCCTGCCTCGACCTCTTCCCTGAGCTCCAGCTGGGGGCCTGGGCCAGGCTAGCTGCATCTATGGCTGATTTCGAATGTCCCTTCCTCAGAGAAGCCTTCCTCGTCACCAGGCTCCATTAGCACGCCCAGCCCCACCTGTCCCTCTGTTCCTGCGACACTGTCTTTGCAACTCGAGCCTCATCTGGTATTTACACCGTGGTAATTGATCACTGACAGAGGAGGTTCCACCAAGTCACTAGCTGTAGCACGGAAACCACCTCGTAGCTGTGAGGGCTGTTGAGCAGCCTTTCCCATTTAGTTACGATTTGTGGCCATTTTTCAGAGAGTTAAAGCCACTGGACATTGGACCTCTAAGTAAATGGGATACCAGAATATTCCACCAGCATGTCCCCTCACCTCTGATGTTGGGTCACTGAGAGTTCAGAACGGCCAGGACCTCTAGCCAGGCCGCTGGCGTCAGGGCCTGTGTTCTTCAGTTGGAGAAGCAGCCTGTCCCTGGTGTGTGCGCCACTGGTCAGGGGACCAGCAAGAGGCACCTGGGGGCCATCTTCAGTCTGGGGGGATGGTAACATGGCCTCCAGGCAGTGGGTCTCATTTGTGTGACTGGCCAGTGCCTGCCTGTCCTCAGGTCTGCTTGGGGCATGGTGGGTACGAGTGGCAAACGTGGACAGAGAGGCACCTGGTCGCATTTAACCAAATGCGAACTGTGATTCACGAGGAGGAACGTCATGGTCTTTTCACAGAAGCACAATGACGACTTTGAGATGACCTCGTTCTGGCTCTCCAATACCTGCCGCCTGCTTCATTGTTTGAAGCAGTACAGTGGGGATGAGGTGAGTGCTGAGGGGGAAGCCCAACCCTCCACAGTTGGTTTAGAAGCTAGCCAGGTGCTCCAGACCCTGCTGCAGCCCAGGCCGCATTCCTGGGATGGCGGCCTGTGTCCCAGCTCAGAGTACCGCAGACCCCGGCAGCCTGCTCGGTCCACACATGCTTCTCCCCAGGAGGGGGGCCCGGCCTGTGCAGCCACTCGGGGGCCTCAGGCCATGGGCACGTTGCACTATACCTGGTAGCTAGAAGCAGGAATGAGGCAGGCCCCAAGGACCCCAGGCCCCAGAAAGCATCCTGAATCGAGTAAGTAGAATAGGAAAGGAGCTGGCAAATCCACCCTTTGTCTGAGAGCTCCCGGGACTCTAGGGACACTCTGTGCCTCTGCATGTCTTGAGCAGCCCTAGAAGAGGCCCATTTCAGTGACAGCTGGGAGAAAGCCCACTCGGCTAGTGTGTGGGACCATCTCCAAAGCCAACCTATCAGTGTGTCCATTTTAAAGCTCAGAGAGGTGGTTGCAAGAAAAGAGGTTCAACATAAATCAACGACACTTGTACAAACTGACCTTGAGGCCCAGCATCGTGCTTCTCACCAAACCCGACTCCTTTGCTTGAGGCCCAGCTTCACCCGGCATGCACCATTCCCCACACCGATTCCTGGAAACACTCCTCCCATGCTCTGCACTCAGCCTCACAGCCTAGGAACACATGGTGTGCTTTCACTCTCAGTTCACTAGTAAGAGCCCAACCAGTGCCAGACGTGCCTGCTCCAGTCCCTGCAGGTCTCCTTGACTTTCCTTTCACACAGCTCACTCTCCACCCTGCCATCTTTTGTGCCAGCACAAGTTTGACAGAGCCCTCTGCCTGAGACAGTGAAAGGACATTCCGTCCCTGTCAGTCTTACCTTCTATGGAGTGTGAATGACAGGGTCTTCCCAAAAGTCACATACACACAGAGAGAAACAGGGTGTTGCGAAGCAGCCCGGGGGCCCTGAACTCCTGCTAAGCTGGACCAACCACAGAGCTTCAGTAAAGCAAGCATCTCCCTCTGCAGGGCTTCATGACTCAGAACTCCACCAAGCAGAACGAGCACTGCCTGAAGAACTTTGACCTCACGGAATACCGCCAGGTGCTGAGTGACCTTTCCATCCAGATCTACCAGCAGCTCATTAAAATCGCTGAGGGCATGTTGCAGCCTATGATAGGTAAGCCGGCGGCAGGGGCTCTCTAGCACTGGTCCTGGGGTCTGATGGGAGGGGAAGATGTGGCAAGCCCTGCTTACCTTTTGGGAACTGGGCATGCAGCGCACAGCCTTCGAAAAGCCAGGGCCGCTCCAGGGGGGTGCGGACTGTGAGCTCGGGAAGAGCTATGAAATTTTCACCACCATCCCATCAAACTACATAGTGCTTGGGAGGTGAGAATATAGATCATTTTGCTTTATCTCTTTTTCTGTAGTATTTTTCCCTAAAACAAACTAATTTCCATAGGTGATAAATTTGTAAGGTATAAATAATATACAGTGAAAAATATATCAGCCTGTTGCTTATTTAGATACCTAGTTCATGAAGAATGGAAAGCACTGTGTGTGTTTGCATGCAGAGAAGCATTGGCGTGCGCTCACGTCATAAAAACCATTGCACACTCGCTTCGCCCAGAGCAGCACATGTGGACCTGGAACATGAAACCAGGATTGACTCATAAGAGCAGTTCTGTCCTAAGGCACAACAAAAATTACACTCAAGCCCAAGCTCCGTGTAGGCTCGGGCAGAAATGCTTTCTCAGCTTCTTGCAACATAAGTAGGTTAGAAATGAATTCTAAGGAGGACAGAGTCCTTCATGCCACGCAGAAATATATCCTGGGGATAAGATTCATTCTAAATCCTTCTTCCAGTCTGAAAAGTTTCTTGTGAGACACCAGTTTATTCTCACCAGACACAGGGCAAACTGGGATACTCATGGACCAGAATAATGTGAGTTAATAACAGCGTCAGCTCTGGAGTCAGACAGGCCTGGGTTCAAGTGCTGACCTTGCCAGTTCCTAGTGGTGTGACCTTGGACAAGTTATTTAACCTCTGTATGCTTCAATTTCCTCATCAGCAAAGAGGTTGTTGAAAAATTAAATGCTGACCATGAAGTACCTGGCTCATAGTCAAGCGCTGTGTGGTGATGACACCAGCTACATGGTCAGTGGCTCAAGGTGAAGAGCTGTTTGGACAGGTGCAGGATGACCTCTGGGTCCAGGGGCAGGGCCAGCACATCCCAGTTTCTCAGTTCTCAAACTGTGGAGTCTTAGCACAGAATCCAGTATGTATTGAGTTGGTACATTTAAATGAAAATTTGGTCAACAGCTACTTTATTCCATATAAAGACCAGCACATTAGAAGTTCTGTGCTGAATGCGCTCAGTTGGGGGCCTGTCAACACTGAGCACCTCTGACAGTGTCATTGCCAAAGCCCTGACTACTGGAGGACCCGAACGGTGGTCTGGAAACAGACCTCTGGGGAATGCACAAGCTTCTGTAACAATGCTGTCCTTCCAGTTTCAGCCATGCTGGAAAATGAGAGCATCCAGGGCCTGTCTGGGATGAAGCCAACAGGCTACCGGAAGCGCTCCTCCAGCATGGTGGACGGAGAGAACTCCTACTGCCTGGAAGCCATCATCCGCCAGATGAATGCCTTTCACGTGACCATGTGTGACCAGGGCCTAGACCCCGAGATCGTCCTGCAGGTGTTCAAACAGCTCTTCTACATGATCACTGCTGTGACACTCAACAACCTTCTCCTGCGGAAGGACGTCTGCTCGTGGAGCACAGGCATGCAGCTCAGGTAGGAGGGGCGCTGGCACCTGCGCACACCAGCTGGGGCTGGAGCGCGAGGCACCTCTGAAAACGAAATTCCAGTCTGGCTTGATAGGCCTCGTCACTGTCAGTGTGCAGCTCAAATCCATCACCGTTTTACAGGTGGGTGGAATTCTCCAAACGCTGAGATGAGGACTTGGTAACAGATTAGTTGAAGGCCTAGAGACATTTACATACTCTAAAGACTGTAAACACAATCTGGATAGACAGCTCATTGACTTTTCTCTGTGAGCTAAGTGCCAGGAAGGCTCATGTAGAAGTATAAATACAGGGTGGGGCCAAAGTGGGTTCACAGTTGTTTATGTGGAAAATACAATAATTAATAAATAATAATACAAGAATAAATTCACATACTCACAGCTGTAAACCTACTTTTGCCCCCCCCCCGTATTTTGTGAATGTTAAATATTAGTTGTTTTAATTCAACACATTGAATATGTCTGTTCCCCATGAACTTCTACAGACCCCTCAGGTACCCATTCATTAAGTTACTGAGTGCTCAGCACTGTTCAGTTCTGGCCCCTGTGGGATGGTTCGGGTGAGAAGGCGAACAGTAGTGGCAGCGAGGCTGCCAGATAAACACGACAGATAAACACGACAGATGTGCGCATCCCAGTGCATTAGGAGGGCCAGCTTAACACAGCCCCTGTGCCTCTGGTTAAGGTACAATATCAGTCAGCTGGAAGAGTGGCTTCGAGGGAGAAACCTCCACCAGAGCGGAGCCGTGCAGACCATGGAACCTCTGATCCAAGCAGCCCAGCTCCTGCAGTTAAAGAAGAAAACCCCGGAGGACGCCGAGGCCATCTGCTCCCTCTGCACCTCCCTCAGCACTCAGCAGGTGCGGTCCCTGCGCATGGCATCACCAGGGGTTTCGGAGCGAGACCAGCTTTGTTCCAGTCTGTTCTTGCCAGTGGGTTTTTTTGCGGGGGGGGGGGGGGGGGGGGCACTTCCAGCCTTTCTATACACCTAAAGATACAATTCTGAAGTTGCAGCCAAGGGAATGTCCCTAAATGAATCAAAGACGACTGTGGTCAGTGAAATGAGACACCACTGTTTTTCATTAACTTTCTCTGCTTCCTGATGCTCACTTAGATAAGGTAGTAAACCCAGAAAACATCAACCTTAAGGTATAAGCATTTTTTAAATACAATGAATTCTGGGATGTTTCTCACCTAGAAATTTAAATGTTTTCAGAAATTGGCAGCATGAGGCATTTGGTATTAAATAAATTGCTTTTTTTTACAACTATAATTTCATTATGGTCAGTTTTAACCTAGAATTTATTTATATTGTTTTAAATAAAATCATGAAGCACCCAGGGGCATTTAAGTGTTCCTCTCCTTTCCTCCCAAATCGTATTTATCCTAGGACTTGTACAGAAAGATGAGTCCTGTCCACACACAGGGTGACCTTGACCTCCCTCCGGGGTGTGTACCTGTTTAGAAATGGGCCACCACAGGTGGTCTCACAAAATGAGACCAGCACAGGAAATCAGACTTCCTAAATTACATCATGGGCCTTCTCCCTCTCCAGTACCTAAAGAACAACAAAAATCCAAACTCAGCATGCAAAGTAAATGATTTCCCAACCTCTTCCACCAGTTACTAAAAGATAGTAACTTGGTGGAAGTTACTTAGATACTTGGACACTTAACCAAGACCTTGGTCTTTACTTGATTACTTGGAAGTCAGCAGTTACTTGGTCTTTTTTTCTTAAGACCAAGCTCTTAAGAAAACTGCTTTCCTTCTACAAATGTACTGAAATTTTTCAAACTTTTATTCTCCCTTAGAAATATATTGTTTATCTATCCAGAATGCATCTGGCAATGATTTGCATTTGGGCAGGCTACTTACACCAAATAAGATTAGGAACAAGATTATCCCCCAAATAAGAAAAAAATCTGTTCCTTTTGTAAGTGATTTGGGGGGATTCATAGGAGGTAGGGAGGTGTAGTTAAACAAGACCTTTATCGTCTAAGGTAAGATCTCCAGTACTTAAAGGTCTGAAGAAACCTTTAAATGACCAGTAGGTAAGAGGATGGAGATGTCAGGTTTCCTAAAACCCTCATTTTCTAAGCCATGGAGCATAGGGGGTGGGGCAGGCGGGGAGGTAGGGATGCGGATGGAAGGCCCAGCTCTGCCAGGCAGGGCTGCGACCCGCCAGTCTACCTCTGAGCTGGGGGTCCTGCCTGATGAGGGCTGGACTCTTGTGTCAATATCATGAGGTCTTTAAAGTTCAAAGGCTCTCCTATGTTCATTTTAGCACTTTGCTAAACTTTTTATTCCAACAGATTGTAAAAATTTTAAACCTCTACACTCCCTTGAATGAATTTGAAGAACGAGTGACAGTGGGCTTTATACGGACAATCCAGGTGAGTTTTGCCACCGGCATGTAACTGAACTGTGTACCAAGTGAAACTCACTAAGCAAGCAGAGTATCAACCCTACTCAAGGATGAACCAAGAAATATTCTTTTAAGAGAACAATTTGAGCTCTTAAATCTTTTCTGTAAGAATTATAATATTTGCTCTTAAGAATATGCTTGAAAGAAATGATATTTAAATCTGTCTTAAGATGATGGACATTTTTTACTTCAAGATGAGCTTCCTCACGCCAAGACCTAGGTGATTTTGGCTGAGTGCCTACCCTCTAGTGCGCCTGGAGCTGACAGTGTGATTGGAGTCGAGTCGGGATTATTTCCAACAGTGAACACTTCTCCACTGTGTATGGGAAACACCTTGAGACATTAATACTTTCTCAAGTTTTTAAACACACAGCCTTTACAGCCAGAGAGTTGATGGCAGCACAAAATAAGGATAAAAAGAAATGGGGGAAGCCATCAGGGCACGAAAAGGAGAAAAGAATGAATGAATTTTAGCAGGGCGTTTAAGTGGAGAATACAGGCTGAAGATCAAGGGAGGGGCTAAGTCAGATCAAAGGCTGTTCTCTCAGGTTCTGTGGGAAAGACGCAGTGAGGCGGTAGAGATCCAGGCCCCAGGGGGAAGCAGGCCGAGACTCTGGACACCTCAGTAGTGGGGGGGGGACGACACTGAGAGAAAGGGTCTGGGGATCAGGACACGTAGTCAGCTGCTGAAGGGGGAGGCAGAGTTGGATGACAGAAAAGAAGCCACTGAAATATCTGACCCACAACTGACTTTTACAACTTACACAAAACAAAGTATAAGTT